CCCTTTTAGCTCCGCATCTCTGTCTGCCAATCGTAGCTTGAGATGCGCCCTCTCGCTTTCCAAGGCGTTTATTCGTCGAGCCTCTTGTGAACTCTTCTTGCGAAGTGTTTCTGCTTCTGTGTTCACCCGATTCAAGCGATCTTGTAATTCCGAGCGGGATCGCTGTGCCTCGGAAAGGTCTGCACGGGTAGTATTGAGAAGATCAGTCGGGGTATAGTCTGGCTCAGTCGATCGTTGCCTTTTGGATGGTGCAACTATAGGAGATGGGACAGTGGGTTGAGCTTCACTCTGCGCTATTGCAGGACTGGTAAGTTTTGCTGCTGCTGCTAATTTGCTGGTGCGATCTGCAAGCTGGGCATCTAGATTTGGTAAATGATGTCAGTCGCAATCGCTCAACAAAAAGCATCAATGATAGACTGACAGGCATCATAGAGAGTAGCATTTGCTTTCTCTCGTTGGTCTCGCACTGTCAGGGCAGCCAAGTAATCCTCCCTCCAGTGGGCCATAAGCCTTCCAAGCAAATGTACCTGAAAGTGATGAAGTGGAGTTGGTTGCCGCTTGGGGAGTCAGATGTGCTAATCGTTATCACTTGCCCACCGCCCGCTCCACCGCCCAGCTCTCCTCATGCATCATCGAATCCGGCTGCAACCCGACCCCAACTCTCCAACTAACTTGTCCTTATCTGTTCTATAAAGGCTTAGTGAAGACTGCTTATAGGTCTTTGCTTAATAGTGAACTTACGGTTATTCCTCGCACATTTACACTTGGTCACTTGGCCAATCCCCAACCATGGCGTCAAGGAAGAAGGTCCTCCTCAAGGTACAATCCCCGCATCTGATCCGTGTGACGGGCACTGAATCTTTCAATATGTGGGGGGTTTTTTTTTGCTAACTGGCGTCTTTGAAATCTAGGTTATTATCCTTGGTGACAGTGGTGTGGGAAAAACAAGTTTGATGAACCAATATGTCCGTTCAATCTCGTCCCAAACTAGCCTATGGCCGTACCGCGGTCGGCCCCGAAGACCTATAACCGCTAACATGCAATTTTATGAGCTGAATAGGTCAATAAGAAGTTCAGTGGAAGCTACAAGGCCACAATCGGAGCAGATTTCCTCACAAAGGAGGTTCTCGTTGACGACCGACTCGTGACAATGCAGGTAAGGCGCTAGAGACTTTAGCACAATCTCGTGATGAGGGGCAGTAACTAACTTTGAGGTGTCAGATTTGGGATACTGCGGGCCAAGAACGGTTCCAGTCGTTGGGAGTCGCCTTCTATCGTGGAGCCGACTGCTGTGTCTTGGTTTATGATGTGAACAACTCCAAGAGTTTCGAGGCTCTCGACAGCTGGCGAGATGAGTTCTTGATCCAGGCAAGCCCGAGGGACCCAGAGAGTTTCCCATTCGTAAGTGGTGTTCCTGCATTTCTTTTCCTTATCTCATGCGCCGCAGCAGCAGACAAAATGATATGTTGGTCCGTGCTAATAGTCATGAGCAGGTTGTTATCGGTAACAAGATCGATGTAGAGGAGAACAAGCGTATGATCTCCTCAAAACGGGCCATGACTTTCTGCCAGTCGAAGGGTAACATTCCCTACTTCGAGACCAGTGCCAAGGAAGCTGTCAACGTCGAGCAGGCGTTTGAAGGTGAGTCAAATTCCCTAGCTACTTTGCTCAAAAACTGTTCTTTCCCGACATTTCTAATCACTATTTAGTTATCGCGCGGAGTGCACTTGCCCAGGAAGAGGCTGAGGAATTCAGCGGTGAATTCAGCGACCCAATCAACATCCATCTGGACAATGACCGTGATGGCTGTGCCTGTTGATATACCCTTCCAATTGCTATGATGTTCCAGCGACCTATTTCCTCTGTCTTTCCTTTTTTCCTACTACTATTTGGTTGGTCTCCGGTCCTGAGTCTGTAAAGAAGACCACGGGGTTTGTTTTGGATCACCTTGCCATTCCCCCGGTGTCTTGTAGATGTCTTGGTTTCATTGTGAAATTCACCTGAGAGAGAAACTTCTTACTCAACCCTTTCTCGGGTCAGTTTTATGCAGACAATGTCTTTGTTAGGCTTAATGCGATTCCTTCATTTTTCCGTAATAGGCAGTTGATCGCATACTCCCTCGAAGTAAATCTAGTACCATCAGATGATCCGTAGTCACCAGGGCAGGTTACTTCTTATGATAGCCATCAGGGTATTTATCACATGTAGGCTGATGTAGCTCGTGGTTAATTACTACAAATAAATGTACTCCGTACGGAGTACCGAAATAATATCGGCGACTACATTTCTCCCCACCCGGACCCTTATCTTGCGAATGCTTGGCATAACCCCGTGTTCTCTTCAGCGCATATATTTAGGCAGGAAGTCTCGTGACACTCATTTGCTTCTGCACAGAGATTTTTGCTCATTACGCTTCAGATGTTCAGATGACAGCGGTCCGACTGATATCCCGTCCAACTCGGCATCCTCGGCTGCAAACGTAGCGATTGCGACATCGGCGGCACGAGGTTCTTCACCAGTATTACGCCTCGACGAGTCGCGCAGATTCAACCCTCTCACAGGCAACTAAAACAACTTATACAACCATGACCTTGACCACACACGAAGCACCTGGCACGATGCCACTGGGGATGGCGCGGCGAACATTAGGAATCATCCTGCTCCTAGTGGTGGTTGTGCTGTGGACAACCTCGAATTTCCTTGGAAGTGTATGCGCATCCCTTCCTGAGAAATCATAACCTCGTAACGCAAAATACATACATTGTTACAAACATTTGGCTAATTACCCATGAAATGACATCCAGACTATCTTCGCCGACAAAACATACCCGAACCCTTTCTTCGTAACTTACACGAATACCTCCATGTTTATGATGCCTCTCATTCTCATCGTCGCTCGTCGAACATGGGCTCTCTGGCGTCACGGGAAACTTTCTCAGATCACATCATTGAGGAGCTTTTTGAACCATTTGGATTCGCATGACCCGAAGGCCGAGGAGGAGAGGATACTACGCAGCGGCTCAGATGAAGAGGACGGGCAATTCTCGCGGGGGAGACAGGATCCTTCAAGCGGAAAGCTAGGGCTTAAAGCGACAGCTAAACTCAGTATTCAGTTTTGTCTGCTCTGGGTAAGCACAATGACCTTGAGGCTTAGATAGATGATCAGCTGGCTAACCTATCATAGTTTACTGTATGTCATACACCTCACGATATGGAAGCTTATGTGTTGGAAGGGAACTAATCGAGATTTCTTGGATAGGCAAATTACTTCGCCATGGGATGTCTTCAATTCACGTCAGTTGCAAGCACAACCATTCTGACTTCCACCAGTGGTAAGATTCCCCCGTTTAGATGTGTAAAGACCAGGTTCTCACCCTCACTCTTCTAGGTGTATGGACTATGGTCTTCGGCGCCCTGCTGCGTGTTGAGAAATTCACGATGCGCAAATTAATGGGTGTCTTGGCTTCTCTGATTGGCATTATCCTGATTTCGCGCGTAGATCTCTCCAAGCCAGAAACAGGCGAGGGCGCAGATAGTGGCGAGGGTTCATTCCCACACAAATCCTCAGGGGAGATTGCCCTTGGCGATGCCATGGCAGCGTTCAGTGCCATCTTGTACGGTCTTTATACCGTCGTGATGAAGAAACAAGTTGGCGACGAATCCCGGGTAAACATGCCACTCTTCTTCGGCCTGGTTGGATTTTTCAACATCATCTTTCTGTGGCCTGGTTTCTTCATCATGCACTGGACGGGGCTTGAGCCCTTCTCCTTACCCGAGACGTCGCGAGTGTGGTCAATCATTCTGGTATGGCTCCGACTCCTGTTGCTCACCTTTGATTCTAACCTCACGTCTATCAGACCAACGCGTTTGCATCATTTGTCTCCGACATTGCTTGGGCTTACTCCATGCTCCTCACCACCCCGCTTATCGTGACAGTCGGGCTTAGTATGACCATCCCGCTCTCCCTGATTGGACAGATGGTCCTACAGTCACAATACTCCAGCCCTCTGTACTGGGTTGGAGCCGCTATTGTGTTCTTGTCATTCTTGGTTGTGCAACACGAGAGTAAGCCTGAGGACGACCTCACCACTGATGCAGGCAGGACCTTCTCGGGTGAGTATAACAGTATTCCCGTTGAAGAAGAGGAAATGCGTTAGTTTGGTCATGGGAGGGTTCTTGTATTCATTGCTACACATTTCTTGTATTGCTCACATAGCATTTAGTTTATTCTCCAGGTTGGTATTCCCAAGATATAGATTATGTATAGCGTCATTCAGCATTCTCATTGGCTCTACTTCTGCCTGCATTTCAGTCCACCTCTCCACGAAATCGAAATTTGTAACCCAATTGTAGACGGATGATTTGCCGAGTCTAGTCAACTCCAAAAAGAGTCACAAATTTGATTTCTCACATCTAAAATTGAGGGGTCTCAGCCAAGGCCGACCAAAAGCTTGGTTTGACCCTCTGTAATATAAGTCATACATTAGCGCCATATCTGTGACATTCGAAAAATTACACCGAACGGTTAACACCAAACTTGAATGATGGTATCCTGATAGAGTATTATATATTATGCACTAGCGTAGTACAGCCTGAAGCAATATGATACATAATAGGTACTCAATATAGACACTGAAATGGAAGAAGACGGACGACGGAAAAGGGAGGATGCCACAGTGAGAGAGAAGCATGGATGCAATGAGAATACATCGTGTCAATGAATGAAATCAATAGACAGTTGGAGAAATGAAGGTAGAAAAAAACAGGGTGCTCAATGAGCACGAAGGTACTAACGCCAATCCGTTATTCGAAGACTCCGGAGCTCACCGCGAGACGAGCAGTCAAAACGAGATCACCAACCTGGGTATATTGAAAGAAAAGAGTTAAAAGATAAGAAATAATGAGAGAGGGTTCCTGAGATGCAGGGAAGATGAGGTGAAGGAAGGGAGTAGGAATAGGTAGAGTAATAAAACAAGCCCTACTCCGTAGAGCGAGTGGCATTATACAGAAGTGGCCATAGACGGCTCCAATCGCCTGCGCGCGGCCAGAATGCTTTTCAATGAGCCCAGCCAGCGCGCCAGGGACTCTTCATCCGGGGCGCAAAGTCGATAGGTCTTTTCTTCGGCGATGATCTGCAAGCAGAACGTCTTCGATCTCGACAAAGGGTCCACTTCTGCGGCATCAAATACATGAGACATGGGGATGATCTTGACTGCAGCATACTCCGATTCATCCTTGTAAAAGGCCAAACTCTTAGGTCGAAGCACAACCCAGAGCCGTTTCCACTGACGCACGGTTCCTTGTATGCGCAGCCCCTGCAGGTACCCCTGACAGATTACCCGCTCTGGGTCACGCAAAGTGCCCGAGTCTGTTTGTTTGCTGGTATCTCGGGGTAGAGACGATGACGGCCGGGGTGCCGATTTATCCTCCAGTGCTGAAACGGACAGTGAATGGATGGAGGGCATGGATCGTAGGTAGATGTTACGTGATGGCGCAGGTCCATCAGAGAACTCTGAATGCGATGCCATCTCGTTGCCGGAGTAATCCTGGATGTAAGGGAGTTTCTGGGCATTTTTACTGCGTGGGGACAGCGGATGGCGTGGCTCCGGAGAGCTGGCGCGGCCAGTGTGATCGAAGTCGGAGTGATCGGTTGTCTCGTCGACGAGCTGTTTCTGGATGGCAGGGGGATCGTGCTTTTTGGTCAAAGCCAGGAAAGCTCGCTCGTCCTCGTCGCGGGGGGTCTCGGCACGAATGCGGTCGATCCAGTCCTCTGCATCGCGTTCGCTCAGGGCTTCGAAGCGGTAATTCGTAGATGGGGTAAAGACACCGAAAACATGCCGCCGGGTCGATCGGGGAGACTTGACGGGCGCGACAGCGGTCACTTCAGACAGGGGAATGGAGACTCGGAGGCGGGTGGTTTCTTCGTCCTTGTATACGGAAAGGAGGTTCGGTCGGAGGACGAGGTAGGCTGGTTTCCATGAGGCGCGAAAGACGTGTTTATGCTTGACTCGTCGACACACTCTCCCTGTCTTCAAGACTCGATCGAATTCGAAGCTTCCATTCTCGTTGACTGGCGAAAAGGGATCCAAATTCCCATTGTTGTGGAAATGGGACGAGGGGCCGGGTTCCGGAGGTTTGATCATCGCGGTTTTGCCCTCAGACAAGGGCCTGGTCACCACTGCAGTCATGTTGTGATGTAGAAAGGAAGAAATGAAAAAAGGGGGCACCCCACGGTGGTGACTCCATATAGTTTATTGTCATGCGGAGTGTGGTGATGGGGGGATGACCGGGATCCGGAACCAAGCCTTTTGGTCCTTTGGCTTCCCGGCAAGCAAGTTGGGATCTACAGTGTGCATGGGAAATTATATAACTTTGATATGAAAGTGGTGTATTTTAGTGTGCTAAACTAAATATATTCTGTTGGAATTCTGTTTCCTTCGAGTAATTTCTTCGATGCACACGAGCAAAACAAATATGTATACGTACTACGTAGTCTACCGACATATGTACATGTACTCCGTATGTACTCCGTACCTATGTAGCTACTATAAATGTAGGTCGGTGATATAGGGGAAAAAGCCAAAAGACGTACTCTGTAACATGTACTCCATAAGATATCACAATAACATACTCCGTAATCCGCTCCTTTGCAATTTGTTCGTGCAAATTAAGAAAGATAACCCGGTCCAGACCTCGGAGGAGACCCGTAGGGATAATGAAATTTGCATTACATACAGTACAATACCGTATTTGCCTCACATATGCGTGTAGTGAGATTGGCAGGATAATATAATGTATCTAGTACTTGCATAAAGACCCCTGTTATCATGAGATATCATGTACTTGATACTTAACCAACTCAATAATTGCCACATATAAAAGAGACTGAATGGCAGATGACAGGGTCAAATGCCCACAATAATCATTGCTGCTATTTTCGGGTCTAACGGCCTGCGAAAGTTTGGACCCTCGATCGTCATGCGCTAATTCAACGAGTTGTATCTACATAGAAGCATGTGATGTGAAACAGGTCGTCCCAGGGCTCCGAGTTGGAGGTTATCCGGGTAAATCTTGGAAGGATGTGTAAGACCATTTAAGCCAACTGATACATTCCAGAGGCAAGTATCCATACCCGTAGTCATTGCCTTCGCATATTCTATGTGTCGCCTTGTAGGGCTAAGCATTGGTGGATCAAGTGGACTACATACAATAAGCTGCACCATCGGATTTTTTTTCATTCAGGTACAAGAGTTTGTACAACATAGAAAGCACACGAGCACAAGCATAGTCTTCGCAGATGGGATCAAAATGATTGCACAAAAGCTTTCCTCGTTAGCTTAGGGGCTAATACGAGTGGTATGTACTACCGTCTGAACCACCTTGCCCCTTAGTATAAGAGGCCAATCCTGAATCCGGTAAATAAACAGCATCAAATCCACTCAAGAGTCAAATATAGGGAATATGCTAGAAACATGAGGTTCAATATAAGAATACTCCGTACATCGCACAAAAAGTAGAAGATCACCTGAAATACCACGAAATACCATACATACCATACCATACCAGGTAGAACGCCACTTCACAGTAACCAGGGGTAAAATAACCGTCTCAGGGTGACAAGAGGCCACCGGACTTCGCCAAGACCAGGGAGGCGCAAGCAGCCCTTTAGGACCCATCCCGTCTTCCAATTCCCCATCTTCTCTCCCCCCATCACCCTCATCCTGTTTTGATGTCCCCGATCTCTCCTCTGTGTACCTTGCTGTTCACAGTTGCCCGCGTTTCTCCCAACGCCTTCCCCATCTATTTACCGTGGGACTGAGAAAGTTGGGGGACGAAAGGAGGCATTCCTCCGGCCACTCGTTTTGCTGTCATTTTCTCCATTTTTCTCGAGATCTTTTGACTTTCGGATTTCCCTGTGATCCATACGGTCCGAATTCGGTCTGATCGTGTGCTCAACTTTTTTCTCCTCAAGACGCAGTCCTCCTCTGATTACACCCCCGACACAATATCTCCGCTATCTCCCTAACGGCCCCGTGCTGTCGCCCGGGCCTGACAGCTGACCGCTACAATCATCCGTGTGGTCTCACAATAATCGCACTCATGAGCTTCATCCAACGCATCACGAAACGGCTGCCCAGCGCGCCGAGTCTGCCGTTGGAGGATGTTCCAACCGAGAAGGGCCACCTCCATCCTAGATTCGCCTTTTTCCGAAGGCGGATTCGCCTAAAGGGCAACTCATCTATTTCTATACCCCTGGGTCTTGTTTTACTATTTCCATGCCTTGTAATTGTCCTTATTCTGCTCCTCTTTGTCCGACATCCTGCCTCTCCCGGGGGGATCCTAATTCCAGCGGGCACTCCGCCATCTATCCGGTTCGTATCGCCCTGTCAATTGGTGCTCCTTGGTGCGATAACTAACCTCCCGCGTTCTACAGAAAAATCAGCGAAAAATATGATAAAGTCTTTGCTACGGGCTGTATGCCTATTGAGCCCGATCAAATCGCAAAGGCTCCCCGCGCCAATGCCGCCTTCGTCGTCCTTGCCAGAAATAAGGAGTTGGAGGGCGTGATCCAGTCGCTCAAGTCAATCGAGAGACACTTCAACCGGTGGTGGCACTACCCCTATGTTTTCCTCAACGATGGTGACTTCGATGAGGAGTTCAAGGCAACCGTCAAGAACTACACCAGCGCAGAAGTCGAATTCGGCAAGATTGACAACAGCATGTGGGGATTCCCTGATTGGGTTGACCATGAGGTTGCCAAAGAGGGCATCAAGAAGCAGGGTGACGCTGCCATCATGTACGGTGGAATGGAAAGCTATCACCACATGTGCCGATTCTACTCAGGGTCAGTCTTCAATGGCAGATTTGGACTTGGATTATAAAGCTAACTTTGCGATAGACACTTCTACAAGCACCCTCTGCTGATGAAGTATGAGTGGTACTGGCGTTTGGAGCCCGAGATCAAGTACTTCTGCGACATCACCTAGTAAGATACCTACTCCGGCGTATTTTTCTAGTCAATCTGCTGACTTGATACCTTTAGTGATCCATTCCTGAAGATGGCCGAGGCAAACAAGACCTATGGCTTTACAATTGCAGTGAAAGAGCTTCGCGAGACTGTCCCCAACATCTTCCGGTATGCGGCCGCTTACAAGCGCAAGAACAACCTCAAGTCCAAGGGTCTGTGGGAAATGTTCCTAGAGCAGCCAGAGCAACCAGAGCAACCGGAAACTCCCGAAGAGAACAAGCAGGACAAACTGCCAGATGAAATCCTGCAGACAGACCCCGGTGACAACAATCTGAAGGACGTAGACCCAGAGGCCATGGAAGGCGAGAGCTACAACATGTGCCATTTCTGGAGCAACTTCGAGATTGCCCGCCTGGATTGGTTCCGCAGCAAGGAGTATGAGGACTTCTTCACCATGATGGACCAAAGTGGAGGATTTTGGAATGAGCGGGTATGTTATATTATGTCTTTGTACTGTGCCAGGGGATCTTTACTGACTGTACTAGTGGGGCGATGCTCCTATTCACTCTCTCGCCGCAGGTGCTCTCCTCGCGCCTAGTGATATTCATTACTTCCGTGACTTTGGCTACCGCCACACTACCATTCAGCATTGCCCGGCCAACGCTCCGGCCCGCCAACTCACCCGTATCCCTTACCTCGAAAAGACTACCGATGACGAGAAGAAACGGATCGAGGAAGACGAATACTGGGCTAACCCTGACCAAGTCAAGGAGAATGGTGTCGGTTGCCGATGCCGCTGCGACACTGACATTGTCGATGTTGAGGGCAAGCAAGGCAGCTGTCTCAACGAATGGGTGGACGTGGCTGGTGGCTGGGCCTCGCCATAGATCTTGATGCTGGTGCCGTAGTGCTCAGTGCTTGCCACGTCTTTCTGCGTCTCCTTCTCCCCTGTCTATTTATTCGGCTGCATGCATCCCTTGGGTCCGCCCTCGAGAGTTTCCAGCTGGAGCCTGCATCTTATGTTGGTCATAGGGTTTCCTTCCTAGGCGGCGTTCAACGGATCTGAACTTTTTTATTATCGGAAGATGGTGTTACCATTTCCATCATCACTGTTGTCACATTCATCAAGCATGCTGTGCCACTGGGTTTGGCTGTTGTGATTCATCCCTTGGTTCTATTTGGAAGAAATTGTGTGTCATCGGCAGTGGAACATTGGTACTGTACCATGTGGTCTCGACAACCATTATATCCAATGTTTTCTCCAGATTTCATCACTATATCCTATGTTCTACCAGGAGCACACCTTCATCTCGGTGGTAGGAGACCATTGATTCGGAGGCTGGGAGCAACGCCCCAAGCAACTCCCGCCACGTCTCTGTGCCATATTTCTTTTGCCTCCCCATCGGCCACTTCTTTTCTCAGCAGCTTTCCCCCCTTCCCATCCCCATCCCCGTGTGCGCAGTTTTTGTGGTTTGTCTTCCAGCATGCATTCATGAAATGTACATACCTTTCCTCTCTCCCCACCCATCCTTGAATCCGTGGCATACATCCACGGGTTGTTTTCTCGCATTGCCCACCCTTGACCCTCGCAAATACCAGATCAAGCATGGTTGTCTATAGAGTATGGAATAATCACTCGGTCAATTACGTGAAGAATGATATCAGTATAATGCACTTTACTTCTTCGGTTTTACTATGTTTTGGACATTTAAATTCTAAATAGAAGAGTCGTTTTTACCAGCTGTGCTACTCACAGTTTCAAGTAATACAATTGAATGTACCAATATCTATGGAAGGAAGGGAAATTATTTAGTATACTCTTATTGGATATAGAATCGCGGCCAGCGGCAGACATACCTAAACAAGTTTAGCGTGTGATTGTATCAGTAGCCCTTCTCGTGCTGATATCAGAAGAAACAAACATGATGGCCTCGCATCAAAGAAACCGGAAATAAGAGACACCGTTCCTGTTCTCATCATCACGTTACCATTTCTTAAGCGAGCATATGTCGTTGTTTGTCTCATTTGTGAATAGTGGCAGAAGCCGACCGCTCTTAGGATGACTATAAGAAGGTGGCCCTGCCCCCAGAACTTCCTTCTCTTTTCTTTCTTCTTCAGCTCTCTTTGCCTCTGGCTTAGATCAAGTGTAGTATCTGTTCTATTCAGTTTAATCGCTGAATGTTCTGCAATGCAGAACGTCATGATTATTCCAATATTTGGACCTCGCGACTTGGCCTCTATGCTTGCATATGCCTCGTTGCACAGTGTCATTGGGCTTACACTACCCCCGATCGATGCGAACTCCTTTTCATCAACTGTTCGGCTTGTCCGGGCGCTTGGAGAAGATCTCTGTTTAGGACCTGGTGTCCTTGTCAAGTGGTTTCGTTGATTAACTCACCACCTTCTTGAAGCCTAATCATGATTCCATCTACTAGCTATCTACTAGCACGGAGTACATTTGAACAGGTCTGAAGGCTAGGAGCCTTTCTGAAGCCATAGGCCGGAGATACTCAATTATCCGGATCCCGGCCATCCATAGGTTGTATGCCTAAATCCTACCCATCCTTTGGACTGCCTGTCTATAGATTTCTACAGCTCTCCATGTAAGATATTTGTTACATGTTCTACCGTTTGAATACTCACTAGTGAGATTAGGGGATTGTGCATTTCAAAGCAAGGATATGAAACGTATGGCCCATATCTCGATGATTCCGATTCCCAATGTTTACTGCCCTCTCTGCGGAGTTATTTCGCTGCCCGACCCCTACAGTGATGATGATCCAGCGTCTTCACACTCTCGCATTTGACCTTGGTATGCAGAAGTACGAGGTCTCTACTCACTCATTTCATATACAGTAGAAATTCCGATGACTATCAGACCTATTCGTCACTCAAGAACGTCCGGAAAATTCATGCATCTACGGGCATACAAGGTCAATCCAGATCTCGAAGTCGCATGTCCGGTTTGAAGCTCGAGTATTATAACCATTCAAGTCCTGGCACCGTAGGACAATGGATTCACCAACTCGATGATGGGTTTGAACTTGACTATCTGGCTCGTTCCAGTAGGCTTCTTCTGGGGTTGGAAATAGGTAAAGTCGCAGCTATACACATCGAGACGACAAGTTCTCGCAGTGTGACGTTCCGCCCTCCGGACTTCCAGTCCATGTCATCCCAAGCGCTGCAACGCCACCAGTATCAGGGTGAATCCGACTCACAGCTATCTCTTGGATATTGAACCCATCCTCTGAACGCGTCCGAGCTGTCATCTTTACGAATAGAAGTCGCCCAAAAGCCCTCATATTGGTCCCCGAACAAGTACCTCCTTTTGACCAGGTACGGAAACACTAGTTTGAGAGGCAGAATGATGAGGACTGTAGAGAGACTATAATCACAGCCGAGACCTACTTCAAAGACCAGGCAATAGTCGGACTAGTCTTCGTCTACACGTTAGGTAAGACAGCGAGCACAAGTGACCCCGATACCGAGACTCGTCAAGCCGTTCATTTCGCACCAGATGCTCGGATTCTTGGCTTGTCGGTTGCAGCCACAGAGCACAAGCTCATGGGAATCGAGTTCGAGGTTGAACGGAATGAGCAGCCTCGTTACGAGAAGCTTAGGCTTTCCGCTGACCTGCACCATGAAATGGCCCGTATCATTCATTATACCTGACTGAAAATGGGGTGCAAGGATGCGGCGTCTGCTGACAACTACCTAAGGCTGTGGGATGACCGAGTATACGTGGCCCCGAGTGGATCGAGGCTTATTGGTATCTACATGCGCTGTCAGGAGTTCTGCTGTGTTGGGGCATTATACGAGCCGAAAGTTTCTGAATAGGGATCAAAGGCGCACGTCATTCTTGGATATATGCATAAAATCAGGCATATAGTGCGCACAGTGAGAAATATAAAATATATGAGGGCTCCGGTCAAACTTCAGTGTAGTCAAGGAATCCTATTACATCTAGAGCTTTCCCGGTCGCTTAGCTTCAATCTATAATCTCTTATTTTCTTTCCTTGTTCTCCTAGTGAAGCTTATACACTTGACATTACTTGTCGAAAAGACCACACATGAGTATCAGCATGTACAAATTGCCATCCTCAATATTTAGATCCCACGTGCAGGGTTGTTCGGGTCATACGCCGATGAGCAAGGTGAAGATGACACTACTCTCAGAGAGTTGGATTTCTCAGATGCAAGTGAACTAGATCAATCTAGACTGTCTTTTTCCAGTCGCGGTTCATTTCCGTGTAGTTCATGTTTTTAGTGTTCATGGTGGGGCACAGTGGAGCTATTCGTTATCAAGTATAGAGAAGTATAAGAATAGGTAGAAAGAAAGAAAGAGAGATGATAGGTTTAGTAAGTTAGTACTTTCTCTCGTTTGGAGTATATTGGAGTACCTTGGAGTGCATCTGCATTGCGAGGGGCAGACAAAGAGAGTTGCCGTTAGGTAGCAAAGTGACTTGTACCCAGTACTTCTGTCATGGGTGACACCATCATACAACTGCTAGGTACCTTGTACTCCCCCACTATTACTGTCACTTGGGTCATCCATTCTAGTATTCTCTTATCGCAACACAACTCCCCCCCTTCGTCAACGCTCTACGTTTCAGTTCTCCTTTATACTTCTTGATCTTCACGGTGCTTCTTTTCTCTTTGGCCTTTGTCGCTTTCACACCTTCACCTAGGTAAGCCCTTACTTCCTTAAGTCAGACACGCACCTGACCCATCCTGACATCCGGCTCCCCGCAGACCCACCTTATCACTCTATTTGGGCTCTCTGAGTCTCTGCCTAGCACTCCCAGTATCTTCCGATCTTCCCTTTTCTTTTCTATTACCCTGCTCTAAATCTCCGTCTCGGTTTCTAACTCTGCTTTTCTTGACCTTCTTCCTACCGCTTGGGCTATCCCTAAGCTCCTGTTTCCGCCGCACCCGTGTGCTATATGAAGTTTACATCGGCGAAATGACTGACGATCCAGACTCGCCTCACAGGCGTTTCCACCGTGCCCAGACTGCCTCGAATCTGCAATATCCGACTCTTCCACCCCTGACAGCTTCTGTCGAGGAGTGGTTATCACGTTCACGGCCCACCAACATGACGTCAGATCAACTTTCTGACCATTCACCCAAAACGCTGAGTGATAGCTGGGCGACTCTGAGTGTGTCGGACATACGTTCAGAGGATGGCAGCCACTCCGAACAAACCGATACAGGCTCGTTGATCGACCAGGCTAGCCCTGACGACGTTGCAAGCCTCGATGAACGCTACAGTGAGAGCGAGGCCGAGGCCCAGGATGAAGACCACCAAGAGGATGATGGAATAGACAGGGATGAAGTGCAGTGCACTGAATCGGCCTCCCAGGAGCTGCCTGCCCTCTTTGCTGCCAGACGAAGTACCATCGATGACAGCACCACAACCACTAAGCCCTCCTTCCCCCATGCCAGTGATTCGATCGAATTCGTGGAGCCCGAGAAGTGGCCCGAGATCGAGAGAGTGGAGCTCAAGCATACTATCCGCATCTTTGAAGGTGCTGCAGCCTTGGAATTGAAGAGCCGGCTGCCTTACAATTCAACCGACTCCATCCTCATGGCCACGCTTCAACAGACCATGACGAAACAGAGTCTCGACCTGGACAAACCCTTCCGCGTGCTCTATGTCGGACAACCGGGATTCCGAAATATTATTCTCGACAAGATCGGCGATGTGCTTGTCTCAAGCTCATGTGCTGGTTCAGAGACCAACTCGGCTGAATCTTCTCGATATCATGTCGTGCCAACCTCATTTGGCGCCGGAGCTGTTCCGAATTTCGCGGAACTTCTTCCGATTCATGTCCAGCTGGTGGTTGACGAATGTTTGGAAGCCACGGCCGATCCCCACGCGGACCGACCTAATACACTGAACCTGAAGTTCAAGAATCGTCCGGTTTGCACTTCGGCCTGGAATGGTTCCGACTACCATATAACGTCTGCAACAGATTGGACTCTACCAGATGTAGCAATTCTCTTTGTCTCCGGCCTCGACGATGCAGCGGCGGTCAAGACCCAGCGTCTTGCCCATATGTTCCTAGAACGTCATGGAGTCCCGGCAATGGTGATTTCGGAGGAGCCACTGTGGAAGATGGCCGGCGAGATGATCCCTCTTAACCACAACAGTCTTCACGCATGTTTGGAGTCCCGCCATCCAGTTTCCGGTGAGACCGCAGTCCTTCGACGGTATCCTATCGATTTGAAGACTTTCGAGAGCATCACACCTGGTCAATTGAATCGAAACCTGGCTTCTCTTGTTGGCCTGTATCCGAGAAAGACACAGAAAGCCACTGCCGATACTCCCAAGCCTCCTCAAAGCCACATATTTACGGATCTTGAGAAGTATCCTGGTAATTGGCTCCCACATTCCTATGCCACGCGGGCCCGAGACCTGGCCCCCACGCTGCGTCTGGTTACCTTGACTCTCATTTCGGCCATTGCCATCTCTATTGGGTATGCGGCTGTTAGAGTGCTGGTCGTCTTTCTAGCGCAATGCTTTGCCGGATCAGCTCTATCCAATGCATCCTTCCCAGTGACTTCCAATGTCTCTTCCACTTCTGTTCTGACCCTGGATCGAGTGGTACAAACCTCAATCTCAACACGGCCGTCAGCTTCTATGCAAGCATTGCATGTGCCCTCAGGGGCTATAATCCCCGATGATGTCTCTGTGCCAACTATTTCTACTGAGAAATCATCGGGAATGACGAACGAATTTGAGATTCAGGTTATTGGAGACTGCCATGTTATCATCAAGCCCCCATATAAGTTTGCATCGTCCAAGAAGCAGCCACAATTCAATGTAAGTGTTCATAGAGAGAACAAGGCTCTTACATACGAGTTGTCACAGCTGTTCGATGGAGTATACACACTGAAGTTGAACCGTGAGGATGCGTACGGGTTAGTCAACTTGACAATTACAACCAAGTCAAGGCAGCCAATCAGCCAGACCATGACTGTTGACTTCGGAACCCCATGGCTGAAGATCGCAAACTGGAAGCGTGCAGCACAGGGAATTTCTTCACAATTCGCCAAGGAAATCCATACGGCTCAGACCGGCCTGACTGAGGTATACGGCCGCCTCTCCACCGATCTGCAGGTGATCGTGGGAGATGTGGTGCAGAGAACCCATCTCTTGCGCCGTGATGCCGAGGAGCTACGCCGTGAGAGTCTAAATGCACGCGATGCCGTTTTATCACGTTCGAAGCAGATCTCAGACGTCCTCACTCGCAATACTATCCAGCGATTCCGAAGTGCTGCTTCTGTGTTGCAAATGCGGTCTAGCCGCGTGGACAAGGAAGCCAAGGGCCTTGTTAAGGAAGCATGGGCCCGAATTGGGAAGTCAGCGCCGAAGTTTGACCTTCGCAGCATGATGGATCGAGTGCGTAACGTCAGGAAATGTGATGCGCTGGATCGAGCTCAGTCGCGTGCGCGACATGTTATGGGATTCCGGTCCGGCAAATCCAAGGATTGCTCAACCCTTGGCTCGAAATGATGAACGAGCTTATTTACGACTTTGTATTTGCTTCTTTTTCCTATTAATGAGTTGGTTGAGGACTGGTTTTTGTTTATGGCGATCAGGTTTGGTGGGTGGCAACTGTACTGGAAATGGGTTTTCATGCGAACTATTCAGTCGGCGCAATGGTATCTCATATTTAAACCGTAATCCCACTTTGGCCTTGAGAATGTTCACTTGTTTTCTCTTTGATGTGTGTTTCCCCACGTTGCATGTAGTTCACACCTATATAGAGTACACTATTGGCAGACAAAAGCGGTGGCGGGTTCTGCCAGGTATGGGACCCAAACTAAGTATTAATTTTTTCCCCCTCATCGCCGCTTTCTCTGATCAACAAACATTATCTGTTACTGAAATTCCACTTTACCTCCCGGGGAAATCTGCCATCTCTCTTTCTATCCTTTCAAACCGATTCTCTTGAACCCCTCGTCAACATGTCTGACATCACCGAGACTAAGCCCGACCCCGCCATCTCTGCCTCCGAGACCACTGAGCAGACCACCACCGCCACTGGCGAGGGTGAGAAGTCTACCACTGAGACCGTTGCGGAGACTGTCGCTACTACCGCAGAGAAGGCTGCCGACACTGCTAAGGATGCCACCGTGAAGACCTCCGACAGCATGTTCTCCATGTTCGGTGGTGGCCCCAAGAAGGAGAAGAAGGAGGAGGCCGAGGAGCCTACTGATGAGCCCTCCGGCTCTTCCAAGGCCCAGAAGGCCAACGATGAGGTGAGTTTTATACATCTGATGCTGTTGGCATAGGCGGTTGTTGTTGGACGTGTCCGCGATGGGAGCGGGGTCTTGTGCCCCTGTCACCCGATAGTGGGGTCGTCGCAACCAAGCCATACTATGCTAGTGTCAATGACTATTTTAGCTCCGCGCATATACTGACTATGATTCTTTGATTCAGGATGAAGTTGAGGAGTCCGTCGATGTCCACTTCGAGCCCGTGATTCGCTTGACCGAGAAGGTTGAGACTAAGACCAACGAGGAGCTTGAGGAGCAGACCTTCAAGATGCGCGCCAAGCTGTTCAAGTTCGACCGCGATTCTAAGGAGTGGAAGGAGCGTGGTACCGGCGACGTCCGTCTGTTGAAGCACAAGGAGAACCAGAAGACCCGCCTAGTCATGCGCCGCGATAAGACCCTTAAGGTCTGCGCCAACCACTACAGTGAGATCCCCCACGGCTCGTATTTCCCAAAGACGATCTCGTGCTAATATGTATCTTCCAGTCGTGCCCGACATGAAGTTGAGCGCCAACGTCGGCAGTGACCGCAGCTGGGTCTGGAACGCCGCCGCCGATGTCTCTGAGGGTGAGCCTGAGGCTCAGACCCTGGCCATCCGTTTCGCTAACAGCGAGAGTAAGTTTTTTTATCCCAACTTTATTCAAGCATTCGCTAACCATGGGTATAGACGCCAACGCCTTCAAGGATGCTTTCGAGACCGCCCAGGTGGAGAACGAGAAGCTCTTCAACGCCGAAGAGTAAACAACTCCTTTTCTCTCGTATTGCTGACTCTTCGAGGATCGAGCATACCCAATTATGGTGCACTTGCCGTTCCAAGGCATTTGGGTACGCCGTCCCGGAGCTTGCTCTTGAAAAATTACCCAATTTCGCCCCTTTCACACCGTTCCACCCAATCATCCCCAATACATCCCATTCCCACCCCATCCCATACGACGCGACGAGCGAGGCAGCAGTTATGAAGATGCTCCTCGGATAGCTATTGCGAGCCATGCAGTCTACGAAATGGAGGGCAGTTCCTAACGTCGATGGTTCTCCGGGAAGTAGATAGACATTTCCCCATCCAATATACCTGCACATCACCCCATACCCTGAAGATATCTGAAGAAAAAGAACAAAGACAAACAAAAGTAATGATGAGTATGCCTAACAAGCAAACGCATGCAATAATACAAAATAGTACATTTTTAAAACCGAAAGATTAGATTTTGCTTGCACTTTGCTGGAACAATGCTCGGGCTATAAGTCTAGTAAATTTGTTTATAGCCATATCCATTTGATCCAAATAGTCTCAAGACGATTTAGATTAAACGCGTAACTCATCAGAAAGTGAGAGAGCGTCAGATGAAACATAGGCCTGGAGATATTCTCAAACCTCCTTGAGCTTCCAAGGTTAATTCACCGCTTTATCAACTGCCTTGAGAATATATCAATAGACCAACCTCACTACATACACCTTACTGCCTGGTTACATTGAGGTATTGCCTAGTTATGATATCCTACGCTCATTGCTCACTCCGATAGACAACCGCGCAAACTTGTCTCCGAGACGCCCACCTCTCCGCACGCCAACGTCCCCTTTCGGCCTCAAAACCTTAGAACCTCACGATTCTCTCAAGTGACGACCCGAAGTCGCCAATAAAATAATCATGCCTGACGTGAGTATCTAACCCTCTCATCAACTGCCGCAAACTTGCATCTACGGCCTTGGACTGTGGGTTTGTCGCTAGAGCCGACAAGCCCAAACCTGGTGTCTTCTCCATTCTTAGCACAATTAAGCTTGCATACACTAACACTCCTTCTCAACAGGTCAAGCGCACTGTCCGTCTCATCACCGAGCAGAACATTATGTATGCGCCCCTCTACCTATCTCCGCCTTCCCTCCCTTCGCAAACCCCGGTCTGAAAGCTACTGTCTCCTCCCACAATACCCTGTCAACGCTATCGTCACGTCCGTCCTGTAGCTTACAGGACACAAAGATGATAATGCGCACAAGGATTATAGGGAGAGGCGCGCTTTGCAAACCACCACTCTTTCCTTCAAACCCCCACGCCCATCTCTACACATGCACACAAAACGCGCGGGATTAGACCACATTGGCTGACTTGGGATTTCTTCCTACACTACAGAGATAAGCCCTCGGAGGTTGAGGGTTTTCCACAGCGATCATGGCATATTGAGGTCTGGCTCGTGAACGAGAAGGGCGCCTTGGTCCCCGCGAACATCTTCGACAAGGTCACCTACCACCTGCACCCCAGTTTCGGTGAACGTGCCACGCAGGGTATGTTTGGTCCCTATTGTGTTTTTGATTTTTGGGTTATCTGGCGACCCAGACTCCCACGGCCGCGCGATCAAGGTTGCGGGGGGTGTGTGTGTGTTGTTTTCCGATTAGAGGCTAACGTGGGACGATTTGTCCACTTCAAATAGTTTTCAAGCACCCGCCGTTCCGTATTCAGGAGGAGGGATGGGGTGAATTCGATATGTCGATCGAGCTCACTGCTGACAAGTCGTACACGATTCAACATGACCTGAACTTCGCCCAGACCCGTTATGAATCTAAGCATGTGCTTGTGAGTTTGTTGAATTTCCCCTGATAGCGAAAGTATGGTGTGCTGATCAACGGTGCGTTTTGTGGTGCAGACCTTCAAGAACCCCAAGCCTGCTTTGATGGCTGCGCTGCGCGAGTCCGGTCCGGTCCCCGGTGATGAGAATGGTATCAAGCACAAGCGCCCTGCTGGTGGCGAGGAGAGCGCCAAGAAGAAGAAGCGCACAGATAAGAATGTGAGTTGGTTCTATGAGATGGGTCTGAGGTTGGCGCTGCAGGACTGACACCCTCTCAAGGTTGACATGGACAAGCTTGCCGATGGGCTTCAGAAGCTGAACGAAGATGACCTCTTGCAGGTCGTGCAGATGGTTCATGACCACAAGGCGGCGGACTCATACACAAAGAACGATGTTGAGCGTAAGTTCCTCTGTGTGTCAGGGAAGGGAAACTCCGTATTCTTTCTCTGCTTCCTTGAAATTTACTCTGAACAACACGCTAACCTTCTCCTTTCGTTTCTACAGTCGGAGAGTTCCACGTGGATCTGTACACGCTCCCGGACGCGTTGATCAAAATGCTCTGGGATTTCACGGCGGACCGCGGAGCCCTGTAAGAGACAACCGACTGAGCGGAAGAGGGGAGAGAAACCAGGCGTGGGAGTGTTTATTCTATTTTCTTCTCATTTCTTGAGTCTTCGCTTCTTTCTCTACCTGCTATGTATCCTTGGTCACCACGGCCATGCGTCTAGTTACTTTCTCATTTATTTTTCTGTCTTTTGACACGGGGAGTTAGCGGACTACCGAAGGAAATTGGATGGCTCTTTCTTCTTTTTTTGCTCTCGCGCTTCTCTTATGAAATGCGCGTATTCTTTTCTCGTGGTCTCGGGGATGGTGGAATGGTGGGATATGAGCGTGGTACATTTCACTCATCTCTTGCTTGAGAGGGAGACTTGGAATTCGAGAACCACGTAAATGGTTCCTTACGATGCTTTGCACTGGATAATATGGGTCTTATACCAATATTCAAGCTTGTTTCACTTGGGGCTGTCTTTCATATCTCTTTGCCTGGATCTCTGGAGATGTGACCCTTGATATCTTGCACATAGAACTGTGGGACTTCCTGGAATGGAATCTTCCAATTCACATATAAGTCAGACCCATGACGCAAGCCTAGACTTAGAGCTATATGTGAAAGTGTACTGTGACTACCCAACTAGGTGACCATCTATATGTACAAGTCTTCGGCTACGGAGATTTACACCCCTCATGTATTCCGTGGGACTCGTCAAGTGGCAATGAGAGCCACGACTTCAGGAACATCCACGAGAAAGCCCAGTTTGTTATCTGATGCAGACCTACATGGACCTCATAACAAATATAGTAATGTTATGATCCCTGTGGTAGGTGAAGCAGCATGTGCTACATCATCCTCTGTCGACGCTGTCTCGTAGAGGCTACGGTGAGATGGTGGTCAGAGAGATGGAGAGGAGGAGGGAAGAAGAGAAATGGGGGAGGGGCCATTTTATACCTTCCCCCAAACCCACGTGCCTTCCCATCATGGACGGCCCTTCGTTCTTGCCTTTTGTTCCTTCTCGGTTACTGGGTGTAGCAGATGACCATACGGAACCCTAGTTTACATATTTAGGGCTCAGTCTAAGGGGATTACCAGCGAGAGAGAAGATAGAGCAGGAACAGTAATAACAGCATGGGATATCTCGTGTAAATCAACATCAAGCCCGGCTCCGGCCGGGCTGGAAATAGTAGGGACATAATCAGACAAGGAGGGAAGAGAAACGCAACGTGTCTAACATGACACGGCAAGATAGTAGCCAGACCATCGACCTGCCGAGTCCAAACGTGTACACTTTGTTCTAGTGACCAACGCCGTTTCAAGAAGATCTGTTCTTGGGTTTTTCATTGCAGGTAGTGCATCCAACATCAGAGGGATGGGACATAAAGAGAGAGGTGGGAGAGAGTGTTTGAGAGGGAAAGAAAGGGGAAGGAAAGGAAAGACAATTCAAGTCAAGTCAGGTCAGGTCAGGTCAAATCAAATCAAATCAAATCATGCAGAGGAGATCACGAGGGAACAACCAAGACGCCTTGCTACTATGCCATAAATGTGGACGGACTGAAAACATAATAGCAAAGAAAGTATCATAGCACACGGTGCCTGTAATCGAGAATTAGCATATGTCTCAGTACGAAATGAACAAGAGCCTGGGAATACGCACAGCTTCAACAAGTCCTCAAGGCTGTCAGCACTACAGCTGCGGCCGCGAGGAATGTTGCGCAAGACATCGACAATAGTAGCAAAGACATCACCACCACGGTAGGCCAGCAGAGCAGGGGCCTTGATGTGATCCATCTCGGCGATATCGTGATGCATCTTGACGAAGCGGGTAGTGGGTTGTCTGCGAGCGATAGTGACCAGACACTCCTCGACAATAGCGCTGTCATCGAACTATAACATAACAAATTAGCTCCCAATTGTATCCAATATCCAAATCCCACACATACCTCCTGATCATAAATACACACAACAACCACCGTGTCAGGCGTCACCTTCTCAATAGCATCGAGGTACCCCGCGGCATCAACCGTCTCGACCGATCCATAGCGTCTACCGCGCGGACTGGCACGGCGATTATTCCGGCCCTGCAGCTCGTGCATGCGCGACTGGCGCCACTTGCTCATGAAGCGGGCCTCGTCGTCGTCCTCGCTGGCGGAGGACTGGTCGCCGGCCGCGAGGGGCACGTCATCGCGGGTGGACTTGGAGCTGTAGGAGGCGCTGTTGGAGTCGAGCCCCGCGACGCTGAGGAGGGTGCGGCGGAAGGACTTCTTGCGGGCGCGCTCGAAGGCCTGGGCGTCGGCGATAACGCCCTTGGGTCCTGTGTTGGCTTCGTAGACGGTGTTGGGGATGTGGTAGTTTGCGTTGGCGGTGCGGGAGGAGACCATGTCTGCGTCGGCTTCCTCGTCGGAGGAGTCGACTGTTTGGCGGGAGCGGAGGCGGGAGGCGGGTTCTTCGTCGGAGAAGTAAGGTTCTGATTCCTGGTCTTCTGGATGGGAGGTGAAGCGTGAACGGTTATTGTTCACCAGCTGGTTGAATTCTTCTTGGGCGGACATGTTGAAAGAGCGGGCAAAGGCGTTTTTAGGTGAGAGGGGGGAGCTAATTTGGGAGATCTGGGATCGGGCACTGTTTGGTGTGTTTCGGATTGGACCAGGATCAAGGATTAGGATATGCAGATACTCGAAGATTGCCCCTGAAGTTGAAACGGAGATGAGGCTGAGGTTGGAAGAGATCGTCGTGAGAAGCCATGGAAGTCATGAAACGGTGAGAACAGCCCCCTTTTTTTGTGTTTCAGGCTCCACATAGGACATCCGAGCCCTAGGAGGCTGTCAAGGTCAAAGACATTTGTTTTAGAATGTTTTGTCGAGATTTATATAAATGGACTCGACAATATTATAGCGTGTTGTATGCCCAAGTTGTATATCAAGCGGTTCAAGCTATACTAACATACTCGTACTTGACCTTAATAGCTTAATAGCTTGATAGCTCAATAGCCTTCCAATTCATTATCCCTTTGAAACCAGCTCTACTCCATGCTCCGATCTCCATTCCCCGTGGAGGCATTCATAATATCCCGAACTATGTGACGTGTCTACGGACGAAGTGTCTACTTTAAGGTAGCCCCATTCAACGATGTAGATCTGTATGTCTCCACCAATGAATCCTCAGGTCTAGATGTCTCCATTTTCTTTTCTTTTTCTAGAAGGATGCGTATCTTCGTATTCCCAGTCTGGTTTGATATGAAAGGATGAACTCTCCTCTAGCGTATATGCTTATTATAAGGATAACCACAACGCTGATCCTGTCCATGTTCTTATTTCGACCTAGTCTTCTGAAAAGGTTTCTACTACAACTATTGTCTTAGTCCCTCTCTCTAGCGTCAGTGGTACGACCCTCCTACACGTCCATTCCCTTGTTTCATGTCAGAAATGGGGCAAGGCGATCCCAGAATCGGCGAGCTGCGTGTTAGGCATCAATGAATGTGGACCGGTGTGATGGTGATTGAGGTCGAGGACATGCGTGGCATTCCCCTAGCCACTGCTCTTGGCTGTGTTCGTGGCCTGATATACGTGGAGCCGAAGGTCGTACTACCTGCTACGGTATCCCATCCGACTATTTAGAGACTACTCCCTCGAGGATGATCTAGGGATGGCATGTTCTACCCTAGGCTGGACCGAGGTTCAAGACATGTCTGATACTCGCCAGGCTCACATTAGAGAATCAAGCCAGACATGAACCGACGTTTCCCGATACTACTATCACCACCTTCAGTGCAATGAAATGGAAGATCGAGTTGAAAAAAAAAGTTCACATATGGAAATTGGAGCTGCTTGAACCATTATCAAAATCCGACACCACAGAATCCCAGAGCAAGATTCCAACGCAAAGACAGTTAAGTACAACGGACTCTTTCTTTAGAGGAGACACAAATAAGGGGGGATAGGAGAGAATAAAGAAGAAAGGAGAAATGAGAAGAGAGAATAATAAGGTAACGCAGAGGTAGATCGGCGAGAGACATCCTGGCTAGAATCCGGTAACCAGGTTTTTCTTTTTTGCCTTTGCCAACAAAATAATTGTCGAGACCAATGCGGAGATGACCAGAACGAAACGGTAAACTGAATGGGGGATAAAGAATTCAAAGAAGAAAAAATAAGGGGAAAGGGCGTCATCGAGAAGTAAAAGGGGAATTGAGAAGAGGGCGACGGTGTAGGTGTCGGATGGATCGACTCGTTCCAGCATTCCCTTCTGCTGGCAGTCACTGTACATCCATCGACCCAGGGACTAGTCGCGCTCTCGTCATGTCCAAACAAGTATTGTGTCATCGCTATCGTTTGTTCGCCGGGACAGCATCCCATAGCGCTCACCTCCACCTCCATCACCTTCCGTATCGCATGCGACGATGTCTGCGCCGCGGGTAGTGTATTATCGTGGGAACCCAAGGGACTCCCCGGTAATTGATTATTATCGTACAATGGCGGTGATTCGAACCATCGAGCCTAAAATATTTCGAAGAAGAGCATTGCAGAATGATCGACACGGGGTATCTAGCGTTTTGCTTTTTTTGGTTTACCAGGCCCAGACCTTGAGCTATACGAGAGAATATCCGAGGTTAGTAGATGCATGTGCATAAACAATTGCAGGGAAACTTACAAGGGAATCCCAAGATCCAGTGCACAGACTGATGCCGTCGTTGCTGACACCGAGGCAGCTCACGCGGTTTTCGTGGCCGCTCAGCGAACCCACCTTGTCGCCACGCAGAACATCCCATACCTAAGTAGATTAGCATCTAGTCGTGTTGCGGGGGAAAAAGCTCAGCGTACCTTGCACTCGAAATCATCGTAACCTGCGAACAATAATCGGCCGGAGACTGAGAACGCAACGGAAGTGATACCGCACAGAACTTGATCGCTCTGGAAGAATATCAAGTCAGTTTTCGTCAATCAAATGTCTCGAGTAAAATAATTACCTGGTAAGTATTAAGCTCGCGGTCGGCACGGATATCGAACAGACGGCAGGAAGTGTCGTCGGAACCAGTACCGAAGGCGTTGCCGTCGGGGAAGAACTGGACGGCATTGATGTCGGACTCGTGTCCGGCAAATGTCTGAACGGACTTGCCGGTACGGATATCCCACAACTTGGCGAAAGCGTCGCATGCACCGGAAACGAAGATGTTCTGGTTGGTCGGGTTGATGCTGATCGACATCACGTCACCCAGGTGGTCGGCGAACTCGGTGACCTTGGTTCCAGACTCGATATCCCACAGCATACAGGTCATGTCACCGGACGAGGTAATGATGCGGCGGTCGTTGATGAAGCGACAGCAGGAGAGATATCCCGAGTGTCCGGAAAGCTCGCGCGCGACTCGTGTCGGGCCTTCGCGCGATGACAGGTTATAAATTGAACAGATATTGTCGAGACCACCGCAAGCGACGTAGTTCCCGCTTGGGGCGTAGGCACAGGTCATGACCCAGGACGAGCGCAAGGGAATCGCATGGACCTTGTTTGTGGTGTAGGCATCCCAGATGATGAGCTTTCCGTCCTGCGAAGCCGAAACGAGATGGCGCCTGTCGGTGGACCAGTGCATGGCATAAATCTTGGCGAGATGACCTTTCAGCGTGCGTCGGGGCTTCATTCCAATTCTTGGTAGGGCGTCGGTCTGGTTCTGCGCGACTTGACGGACTAGACGGGAGAGCAAAGTCAGTATGGTTAATCGAGTCTCCTAGGACGATGTACTGGACCACAGCCCAGGAGAGGAAAAGGGGAGGAAACCCTTTAGGCATAACAATGGGTGATGGGAGTCGCACGGGAGGTATCGGCCAGCTCATCCTTTCTGCGCTTGATCTTGTCCTTTAAACCCTCAGCTTCGCGCCTGGCCGCAGTGATCTTGGCCTGCATCTGTTCGCCGCTCATATCGGCCATTTTGTCGAAGTACCCCGGATAATAACAATGGTGGTCGGAAAGATTGGCAGAGGGGAAGGGTAGAGAGGGGGCTGAATGGAAGGTGTGGAGCGAAGAAGCAGGGGAGAGAAAGTCGAAAGGCGGAACCGAGTGAAAGGGCCTTAGGCTTGGATCATAATATGTTAAGTAAAAGTCGAGAATAAGAGAATAGGGAAAAAGAGCCAACAGGAACAAAAGGAACAGACCGAGAAGAAAGAGAGAGAGGAACAGGGGGTGAAAGACCGAGCAAGGAGAGGGAGGTCAGCGTATTACTAGTGGTAATACGAGACATGGGAATAAGCAGGGTACTTTCAGTTGCTATCAAGTTGTATGCCATCCAAAGTACCTTTCTGTATTTTTCCCGTACTGCATGAAAGAAATCGTGACATATGTGAGCCACTATAGTACATATTTTCCGTATAGTTCAGAGTTTCCTCATTTCCATTCTGCAAGTTCTTTCAGTGGACTCTATATTGCTTTACGGGTACCTGATGCCGGTTTCTTTTCTTTGGTTGATATTCGAACTAGAGCTGACGTACATATACCTAACTAGGTAGGTACTTTGTGCTGACATAGTTAGCTGTTCCAAGTTTTCAAAGCCAAAAAAATATCACCCCTCCTAAACCCTCCTAAACCCTCCTAAACCCTCCTGAACCCTCCTGATCTCAGGAGAATATGCGAAATTGTGGCGTTGAGGATCGGCTGGGTGCTAAGACCACTAGCCCGGAGACTGAAGACAGTGTAAATCCAGCCAGTAACAGCGGCAAAGAGTGATTTACTCCAAGTGTCACGGTTTAACCGCCGGCGGCTCTGAACAACCTGTATCATAGGACATATCAAGTACCGTACGCCAATACATTCTTCACGAGCTAAATGGACTCCCTTGCGTTGCGTTCCCCTTTTCCATTTGCATAGAAGGTAATTTTTATGGAGCTAACGGAGATTGGACTATCCTCCATGTCCATTCTGGGTATAATTCCGGTTTTATGTCCCAGTTACCCTTTATGTGAAGAAGATGACCCTATATTCCAGACATGAGTCGATATTCTCGCATGATTGCAACTGCCATATCCATATTTATCTCTGATCTTCTCCCGATCCCCAACTCCCAATCTATGCTTAAACAATATTGACCTGCTCCGTACTCCGTGCAGGTCCAAGCTTCACACTGAGCGTTCGTTCAGGGTGCACGGCCCTGTGGCTAAATACGGAGTACGTCCGTATTGATCTATTGGCTATTAAAGTAACTCATATCACAATTATTGGATATGATGGAGATATGCACGGAGAACTCCGTGCAATAGCAAGCGTCTAGGTATATGACATATATTAGCCCTAGAGTATCGTGCCATTCGGCTTCAACTCCCGTTCTGGTGGGTCCAACCGTTTCCAGGACATTGGTAAGCGCAATTTAAAGAGATAAATTAAACAGGGATTGTTCCTTCAGGGATTCTTTTGGGATTCTTGGAGGATTCTTTTAAGGATTCTTGGAGGATTCTTTTAAGGATTCTTATTCTGGGCCTTTTTCTCCGAGCCAAAAGCCGGCATCTCTGCCCAGTCTCCACCAAACAATCCATTGTGCTGTCTTGCCCCCCTTTTTCTTTTTTAACTCCGGCCC